AATTGCTTTTTTTAATACACAATATGCGAGTTACGTTTTTTACGTAATTTGTTTACGTACATAAAATACAAGTCGTTTTTGAAATTCGTTATTGACTTATACTGAAGTCTGTTTTTCAAAACACCTTAAGGTAAAAAAAATCAATTTTTATCTTTTTTACAAAATATGCTAGTTTAGATGTCTACAAACGTTATTTAACACATATTTTCAAAGAGTTTAAAAAAAATTCATAAATGTTATTAGTTTCAAAAAGCGTTTTATTCTTTTTTAAATTGCGCTTTTCTCGAAATACATTAAGGTGTTTTGAAAAACAATATTGAATTGATTTATCATATCATATAACTATTGAATTTTAGTTTATTTATAGCAATAATATAATGAGTGTTTCAGAAATAGACAATCTTAGAAAAAAAGCAAAAGATTTAAAGCTACAAATCAGCGATGCACGCAAAGTGCTTCGCTAATTTGTCTCTTTAAATCTTCTGTGCATATGCTCAGTCTGGAGATTATGTTGCTTCTGGTTGCGCCGACAAAATTTGTACAATTCACAATTTAAAAACAAAACAAAATATTAGAATAACACGGGAGTTGTATGGACATACAGGTCATGTAACTTGTTGCAGATTTTTAGATGATGCTCAAATTTTAACAAGTTCTGCAGATAAAACTTGTTGTTTGTGGGACATTAAAACTGGACAACAACTAGAATCATTTATTGGTCATACTGACGATGTTACGAGTCTATCTTTTTGCAATGATATACGTGACGACTGTTTTTTAAAACTTTTTCTAAAAGCGGACGACTAAAAGATGTTAAAATTGAAAGAGCTCACCGCACTGGACGAAAAAACGATGGACGACCAAGGACTATAATATTAAATCCTCAGAAATATAAAGACAAAAGAAGAATATTAAAGGAATTGTATCGACTCAAAGACACAAATACGTTCGTGAACGAAGATTTTTCTCGAGAAACCGTCGCTATTCGAAAAAAATTGTTTGCTGAAGTGAAAGAAAGGCGATTAAATGGTGAAAGTGTTACGGTAAGGTATGACAAAATTTTTTATATTAAAACTTCTTTTAAAAATAATTTTAACGAATAATTTTATGGGCATTCCTCAAAAGAAATCTTAAATAAAATATATCAATAATGGCTACAAATAAAAACTTTGAATCTCGTGTTTTTAAAATTCAAAAAACAAACTACTCTACGTTAAATGAAAATTTAGACTCCGATTACAATATTTATCACAATAAATTTTCAGATTGTTCATATTATTTCTTGGCCAACTAGAAGGGTTTCTTTTTAAGAATGAGAATGAAAGAAATAATAATCAAATGTTAATTCTCCACCTCATTATAAGAAGCTTAAATACCAATTTTGAAAAACTTTTAGACTTATTAAAAGAAACTAAACATGTTTTAAATATAATTTGTTTAAAGAAAACTTGGATTTCTTTAGAAAACCTAAATAATTTTCATCTACCTTATTTTAATACATTTTTAATGGAAAGGAAAACAAATAAGCGCGGTGGTGGAGTTTTAATTATGTTCACGAAAATTTTGAGCATTGTTTTGTTATATTGTATGAGCATGATTTAAGCGTTTCTGACTGCAATAAAGAAATTGCAACTATAGAAATTACAAACTGCAACAAAATAAAAATTTTACTAAGCTGTTGTTATCGGCCACCTAATGGCGTAAGCGATAACCTTAGCATGTTTTTACAACAAGTTAATAAAAAAGGTACCGTTAAAAAAAAACAAAATTTTATAATTGGAGATTTAAACATGAACTGTTTTCTTTATAATGATAACCTTAAAGTTAAAAATTTTTATGATAAATTTTTGAAACGGTTTCAGTATCTTTAATAAATAAACCTACAAGAGTAACGACAAATTCAGCTACTCTAATAGATAATATAATAACTTCAGATATTTTCAACAATGATTTAAAAGTAGGTATTTTGCGAACCGATATATCAGATCATTTCCCTATATTCCTAAAATTAGATAATACAAACTCTGAAAAAATTTTCAGAGTTAACCGCACAAAGAGTAATTAGAAAACGCATTTATAATTAGGCTAACCTTAATTTATTCAAAAATCAACTTTCATTACTACACTGGAATAACATTAATTTTAATGATAATGCTAACAATATCTATGAGTCTTTTTTCTAAACATTTTTTTCTGTATACGATGCTAACTTCCTAAGCATTGAAAATAAAATAACTACTAAGAGCTTAAATACACTAAGGGCTTTAAAAAATCGTTCAAAATTAAGCAAAAACTATATATAAATTTTTTGAAAACAAAAACACCTAAAAACGAAAAAATTTACAAGGACTACAAAAATCTATTTGAAAAAATTTGCAAAAATCTATAAAAAAATTATTACTCCCAATTACTCAATACATTTAAAAATGACACAAAACGCACATGGCAAATAATGAATGAAATTATTGGAAAACAAAAATCATGCTCAGGTTTTCTGCCACAAATGGCAAGAGTCAATAACTATTTATATATAAAAATAATTAGAGTCGATAAAAAGTTTATACGAACCAAGAACTATAGCTCAAGAATTTAACAAATTTTTTATCAATATAGGTCCAACACTTTCTAAAATAATCCCAAAGACCAAATCTTTATTTACTGATTTTCTAGTACTTATTGATAATTGCATTGGTTCAGTTGAGTTGTCTTCTGAATTATTGTTTGAAGAGTTTGAAAGAGCCTTCAAATCTTTAAAAAAAAAATAAAGCAATTGGAGCAGATCAAATAAATGGAAACGTTATTGTAGATTGTTTTGAACAGCTAAAAGTTGTTCTTTTTAAAGTTTTTAAAGCTTCTATCCATCAAGGTGTTTTCCCCGAACTGTTAAAAATTGCCAAAATTATTCCTATTTTTAAAGAAGGGGACAAATCAATTTAAGTAACTATCGCCCTATTTCTGTTCTTTCCACCTTTTCAAAAATTTTAGAAAGAATTATATATAACAGAGTATACAAATATTTTCATGTTAATAAATTACTTAACATTAATCAATTCATTATCAATCAATTCAAAAACATTAATCAAAAGGATAGCTCAACTGAACATGCAATTATCCAATTTGTACGGGAAATCTCAAAATCATTTGAAAAATCACAATATACTCTAGGACTTTTTATTGATCTATCAAAAGCTTTTGGTACGGTTGACCACCAAATTCTAATCCATAAACTTAAACACTATGGAATAAAAAATAAAGTTTTAAAATGGTTTGAAAGCTATTTGTCAAATCGTAAACAATTTGTTCCGAGTAATGACGGTTATCACACCAATTGTCTTTCTATAACATGTGGAGTCCCACAAGGCTCAATTCTTGGTCCACTCCTTTTCCTAATTTATATCAATGATTTAAATAAAGCCTCTAAACTAACAAGTATTATGTTTGCAGATGATACTAACTTATTTCTTTCTAACAGTGATATCTTTGAACTTTTTAAAACAATGAACAAAAAGCTTATACATGTATCGAGTTGGTTTAAATGTAATAAGTTAACTCTAAATTCTCATAAAACAAAGTGGACCTTATTCCATTCGCTTTCCAAAAAACAATATTTGCCATTAAACTTACCTAAAATTTTTATTGATCAAAATGAAATAAAAAGGGATTCCGTAACAAAATTTTTAGGTGTTTACCTTGATGAAAACATCACTTGGAATCATCATATCGACTACATAAGCACTAAAATTTCAAAAAACATAGGAGTTTTATATAAAGCACGAATCTACCTCAATAAGAAAATTTTAATCAAACTTTATTATTCATTTATACACAGTTATTTAAATTATGCTAATATCGCCTGGGGTAGTACAGAAAAAAGTAAGTTGCAACGTCTTTATCGCCGTCAGAAACATGCTATCCGTTTAATATGCTTTGCAAATCGCTTTTCTCACGCAAAACATTATTTTATTGAAATGAGAATTTTAAATATATACGAGCTAAATATATATAATGTTTTATGCTTTGTATACATGTGGAAAAATGACTTGTCTCAATCTGTCTTCAAAGATATTTTTACTCCGAAACCCATCAACAAATACAATTTGAGAAATACTGATTTTTTAAATGAACCTTTCTGTCAAACGAACTTTAATCAATTTTGTATTGTCTATCGGGCACCACACCTTTGGAATAAAATTGTTTTGCCCAATTTTGATTTTGAACTACCCATTACTTTTCGTTTTTTAAAAGTAATTTAAAAACCCTTATTTTTTCATTAGAAGACGTATTATGTTATTATTAATAATATAAATTAATAACTTTGCCTTTTCTTATTTATATTTGTAAAAAGTTTATTCTTTCTTATTTTGTTGATTTTATATTCTTTACTTCACGTATACGTTTATATAAAATATTGGTGAGTAGATCCGCGTGATCTCTCTTTGAATTATAAAATATATATTTGGATTATATATATATGAAATTTGTAAAATTTTGATACTGTTAATGCTTGTTTGAACTTATTTAAGGTTCTGACGACAAGATCCTTTGATCTTCTTTCAGATACCTTATTTTTTATTTGTGAAAGTTTATTATTATTATCATTTTTTTTTATTTAATATTTTTTGGCAATATATAGTTGTAATACGACCAACAAATGTAAAATTAAAAGAAAAAAAAGAAAAATAAAACTGTTATTTGCTGGCTATGATAATTTTGACTGTATTGTTTAGGATACTTTGAAAGGCAATCGTGCTGGTGTTTTCCTGGCAATCGTGCTGGTGTTTTCTTGCCACTCCTAAACAAGTTACACGTTCGCGATCTAAAGATCGTGGTCGTGTAAGTTGTTTAGGAGTTGCAGATGATGGAATGGCTGTAGCCACTGGTGACTATAATGGCTTTGTGCGTATTTGGAATTAAAACAATTTTCTAAATCTTTTACATTTTAATGTACATTCTTTTTACAATGTATTTATTATTATTTACATTTTTTTTACAATGTATATTCTTTTTACAATGTATGTATATTTTTTGAATATTAACAAGTAAGCGTCAAATGCAAACATATTTTAAAGTAAATTTATTTTAGTACTTACATTCCTTAGTTTCTTTAACGAATTAATTTAAGCAAACGCAAGATACTAACTTACGAAAGTGCATGCAGAACAGGCCCGTAGGAACAAAAATTATATGGGGGGGGGGGCAATACTACTGGGTAGGTCAAATAGTAGTAGGTCAAATAAAATTTTAAAGAAACTTACGCCAAAAATACAGATAACAAATAACATGTTTTTTTCCTTTATATTTGTTGTTTGCTTTTTTCTAAAAACTACAAAATTATATATTTGAAAAAATATTAGGAGGGGGGGGGAAACATAATTTAAAAAATAATATTAGTTATTCTAGAGCAAAGATAACCAACAATATGGAGAATCACTCAATTTTCACTAAACTTCAATAATCACTTAATGAGTAACCATATTGTTTGCGAACAAGGTTGAGTGACTCATTCAACCTTGTTCAGTTTTTTGCAAAAAAATAATTTTATTCTTTTTTTATACATTTTTTATACCAATGGAAATTTTTACATTTTTCAAAAACAGCTGTAGTTCTTTAATTGACGCGAAAGCTATTTTGAGCGATGTAATTGCGTCTTAAACGCGTTAGGATTATTACACCGCAAAAATGGTTAGCAGACGTTAACATCCCTCAAAAGTATGTCGATAAAATCGTTTACCGTATTTACCGTTCTTGATTTAAAATTTTGCGGCTAATTTAAATCAAAAATAAATCAGGCGCATTTTGTTCACATAAATAAAGGAAAGGAAGATAAATAGATCGCACTAATAAAGAAAAGAAAGATATATAGGTTTATAGTTTAGAAATAAAATTACTTGAAAGTGGTTCATTTAATTATTATTAAAAGGTAAGCTTAACAATTAATTATAGAAACTGTTTTGAATATTGAATGCTGTATTTAAGTCAATAAAAAGTCTTAAATTAACTTCTTTTTTTTCTATCACAAGTCACTTACTAACTATTCATACAATGAATCATTCTACTCCAAATATTATCACTTCTATTTATCAATCAGACCAAGCACTAACAGTCTAGCCAACCATGATCATAAAACAACTTACTTCACTGTCACCATCAATGTTTTTTAACTTTTATTATTGTATATAAATTACTTAAACCCCATTTTCATACTTACCATCTTAAAACTACTTAAACGAATAATTCTACTTCAGCTCTGTAACATACACCTATACACATCTCTTAATAAAAGATAAATAATACTGTTCAATTACTAAATACAAGTTATTGTTAACGCATTATGGAATTGATTATAAAGAGTTTTTTAAACACAAATTTCATATTATTGCAAGATATTGCATAACTTAATTTTAATTACCAGCTGTTTTAATTACTGTCTAATAACATTTCATAACTAAAAACTCATACTAATGACACAAGTCACTATAAGTATAATTAAACACAAAATAGTCCATACTGCACACACACTTTGTTTAAATAATTAAAGGCTACCTGTTAATAGTTTTATAAAACAAATAATTCTACTCTACTTCAGATACATTTCATAATAATAGTCACATGACATGTGCACAGTGAATCCTGTCAACTGTGCAAATTACATAAAACACATTTATACTACAGACATTTACCTGTTAGCTTACAAATTTCTAAATGATTTTAGTTTACTAAATATGAAGTATATATAAAAGTTATTGTTGATATTGGTGTAATTTTTTTTGTTTTTTTAAGTTGATTAAGGTGCCCCAAGAAGTCCTTACGGTCTTTTCACAGAGCATCGCGGAAGAGCATTTAATGGGGAGCATTTAATTAGAAGATAATGACGATGAAAATGATGATGATGACGATGATGATGATGATGATGATGATGTAAATAATGATTGTGATGATAATTATGATTATAATGATGTTTTTGTATGCATATATGTATACAAAATATAACATGAAGTTTGAATTAAAAAAAAAATACTTTAGGATTTATAAATGTTTATGCAACTACGGGTCACAAACCCAGCTCCAGCTTTAATTTATCAAACGCGGCCCCAGTCAACATCAACCCCGGTCATTTACTACACAAGTACTCCTAATTCACTATTCACATCACTTGCAAAGCTATAAAAACTGAAAACAATTCACAACTCTCACCGACCCTCGTTTTACTGCAACAAATCATTGCACTTACTGTCACTTATATCAAAAAATCACTTACAATTGTATGCAATTTGTTCTCACTAAATATCCTCTAAGTGAGACCAGAAGACACTTAGTGGGGTTCTTTGTTTCAAAATAATGTCACTTTGTGTCATTGCAAAAGTCTGTGGCAATTACCCTGATGGAATACCCTGAAAATGGTCTTTTTGGGATAACACAAAGGGATACTCTAACAAAAAGATACCTTAGATACTATAGAGGCTCTTTGTTTTTCACTGGACATCCTTTTGTACTTTTATCTCATTCTTTTTTTAAACTTTTTATGCATCTTTAAGGTGTTCACTTCTCAGTGCAGCTTAACTAAAATGCAAATCAAAAGTTAAAAAATGATCTTGAAAAAAAAAAGAAACCTGAATTTTTTATCATTATGGTCATATTCTACCGAATCAAAAAAAGTGCAATGATAAAGCTGATATTGCAATAAGTAAAAGGAACATTTGTATAAAAAAAGCACTAAAGTGTACATTTTTATGTTAAAACAACTTGAGTTAAGTTATTAAAGTATTAGTATTACCGTAGATGAAAGTATTATCATAGATGAAATTATCATATTATCATTGAAATTATCATAGATGAAAAGTTGAAATATATATATATATATATATATATATATATATATATATATATATATATATATATATATATGTATATATATATATATATATATATATATATATATATATATATATATATATATATATATATGTATATATATATATGTATATATATATATATATATATATATATATATATATATATATATATATATATATATATATATATATTATAGTATTATCATAGATGAAAACTTGAAAGTAATTTAAGTCACTAGAAGTTTGAGTTCTAGATATCTGTAGTTCACATTATAACAAATTTGTGTTAATTCAGGACATTAACTTGAAAGAAAACTAAGTGCATAGTTAGGGTTAAAAATTAGAATGATAAAGAAGCTAGAGTTGAAATGAAATGAATTTAATTTAAGCTAGAGCTAATATGAAATGAAATAGAGTTAAAATGAAAGAATGTTTAAAATTTTAAAAAAATTTGTAATTTCTTTCTTTGTTTACATGAGTTTTTGAAATTTGATACTATCATTCATTCACAAAGCATTATATTAGCTTTTTGTTTATTTATTTTTTTGTTACACTTGTTTCATATACATGGTATATATAAACTTTTTATTGTTTATTAAACGTTTTTATTTTTTCATTTATAGTTTATAAAATTTTTTGTTTTAATTTTATCATAAAATTGCTATTTTTTCCAAAAAAAATCTTGTTTTTTAGATTTCCATAGTCCTGTTTTTTTTATTAAAAATTTTCTGTTTGCAACCAATGACCCTGAAAAGAACCCTGCACTTTATTTACAAATCATCTGATGATTGTTCACTGCTTACTGCATTTTTTTTTTACTATCCAAAAAATTAGAGAGAAAAAAAATCGGCAGCCAATTTAACAGTTTAACGGACACACTGCTTTTCTATTGAGTAAGTTTATGGAATAATATTATTATTTAAGTATTTTTTCATGTTAATATATAATTTTATATTTTATTAATATTAATATTTCATATCATCATATAGTTTTATTATTAAATTTTCATAATAATATATAATTATATAATTAGTTTCATATTAAATTGAACATTTAACCTCATTTTAACTTTTTGTAACACTGAGTTCTGTGCAAATTTGTGTTTTACGTTAAAGCTTACATTTTACGTTAACAGGGTGGCCTCTAGCTTTAGCTAACAGCTCCTATAAAATCCTCTACTATCCTCTAAAAAGTTAAAAATATCATAATATCTCTTCTTTCACTTCTCTTTTTTATTATTTCAATTTCGTGATGATAGTGTATTATTTAAAATTCATGGTCTGTAAAAAAAATTAATTTTATGTAATCTAACAAAAAATGACATTGTTGACCCCTGTCCTAACTCCAGTTATGTGGAAACATGGGTGTTAAACCTTTATAAAAAATCCTTTAAAATACTCAATTTTTATTTCAAATTTTGTAGTTTTTTTGTAGTTAGAAAAAAGTCCTCTAAATTAGATTCAAAATCTCCTCTAAAATCTTCTAATAACTAATTTTTTTTTATAAAAATTTTGTGGCCACCCTGGTTAATGCTTACTTTATATCCAATTTTTTTTACCTAGATAAGATTTTTTATCTATATAGATTCTATTTAGATAAACAAGTTATGGAAATTCTTTTGATATTTAAAATATTTTTAGGCGTATTGGTGGTAAGAATCTTGGTGACTCCATCGGAAATCTAACCGAAAATTTGATAAAAAATGTATTAAAATAAACATTAAAAGTTTTTCAAAAGTACAAGTTGATATAATAAAACTTTCATGTATTAAGATTTGTTTTGTTTTTTTACAGCGAATACGTGTATAAATAGCGTTTGCAAAAGATTCAAATGCGAGATGATTATTTTCTGTGGTTGTCTTTATATGTGTTAGGCATGCACTTCTCGATACAACAACAACATTCTAACAAACATTCGTAACCAATGCGTATTCTAGAATTTTTTAAATACGCGGTTAATTTCACGAAAACCTCATCGAATACTATCGGGTTTCTGTGTTATATGAGTATTGCATTCAAAATAAACAAACGTACTGAAAAATTCAAAAAATAAATATGACTACAACTCGTTCCAAAAAATATTATAGCCACGGACAAGAAATATGTCGTATTCAGAGTAAAATTAAATACATTTTTGATCTTGCAGTCGAAGATAAAAAAATTTTCTTAATTATTTTAAGTAGCACGGCAAACTCTTCATGCCTCGGACAAAAAAAAAAAAAAAAAAAAAAGCTTTGACCTTTGCTTTAGACGACTTAAGAAAAAAAATCTCTTTACGTTACACTTCCTTCATAAGCAAACAGATGACGTCTTTTCGATGATTTTCAATCAAATTACGTTCAAAAGACGTCATGTCAATAAAGCACTGCCGTATGAGAAAGCTAAAGACGTTCACTTTACCTTCATGAGCTATGGAGCAATTCCACATGCCTATATTTTTTGCTATATCGAGGAAATGTAGTTTAATAATATCCATGAGTATAAAAATTTTTTAAAATTTATATTAATTTGGTAAAGAAACATATCGACGGCCTCATCCGCAAACAAGATAACTTTTTTGTTAAATCGACTCTTTTCGGCAGCATTTTTTTTTTTTTATACATAAGACATTGTACAAATGCGTCATTTTCAGTAACAATTTTAAATATATAAATATGAAAATTAACAATAAAAATCCATGTAAGTGTATATATGAAATATGTTTGTTTCTCCTGCACAGTTTGGTGCAACGGGAGTTATCTCGTCTACAGATTTAGCTGTCGTTATGATCTTTAGGGTAAAATTTTATTTTATACTTTGTATTTTATCAGTTATTACAAAAAAAAAAAAAAAAAAAAATTGTCACGGCATGACAAATCGATCCACGCTGCAACGCGCGTATTTTGAGATATATGTTACAATATAAAAATTATGAACACTTTAACTTTTATAATATGGTTAGGTTATTGCAATATTAATTTTTTTTATTTTTGCAATCTAAATACCGTAAACTTTTGTTTTCTTGATTAAAACATGCATAAACGCGAGCATGGAATTACTGTATTTCCGATTTAATTTGCACATAAGTACACTTTATATTCAGAACAAAAAATAGCCAATTGGAAAGTTAACGTTTTATTATCAAATTCAAGAAATTGATTTTTTAAGGTACAGTACCAATAAATTTCTGTTGATCTTTTTTTTCTTCTTCCACTTAGCATCATACCGACCGGTTAAAAAACTACATTTTAAATTCATAAAAAAATAATAAAAAACAATAAAAAGGGATAACGTTTTATCGTCAAATAAAAGAAAGTTATTTTATAAGGTACAGCACTAATAATTTCCTGAAAACTTTAGTTTCACTTTGGATCATACCGACAACTTATTCATGTTATTTTATGTGACTATTTGATCGTTTTATAAAAAATAAGACTAGTTCTCTGCGATTTATTAACTATTTTGTTAAAGATTTATAATTTTTTAAACTACTGTTTGATTTTACATTCTACAATAATCTTTTAAATAAAGTTTTTTTTTGGTAGGTTTTTCAGTTGAAATAAGAAATAAAAAATACAATTATTTCATTTTAAATATATTTTTAAAATGATCAAATAAAATAATTACATATATACACAATTGCACTCATTACATGCAACCATTTTCAAAATATTGGACAATCCTACCTTACAACAGTTATACAACATGTTTTTTATTTCCTTTAAACTCGGGTCATTGAATTTGCTGTATGCGACGATTGGCAAGCAACTAAAGAAAATATATATTTAGTATACATGTAAGTCATGTAAGTATCATATAAAGATACGGTTATAATATATATACATACATATATATATATATATATATATATATATATATATATATATATATATATATATATATATATATATATATATATATATATATATATATATCATAATGAAAAATTGTCAACAAAAACTTAACTTGCTTTAGATACAATGCTACGATCTCTTAGCATTCACACCATTAAATAAATGTTCAGATACATAATGTCTTTAAATATATGTGGCTATGAAAATAACCGTTTTTTGAAGTGTCGCATTGATAACCATATTACATTGCTTATATTGTCAAAGTCGGAAAAATTTCTGTCCTTTGCTAAAAATTATTATAAATTTATTTTCATAAAAAGCATTTGATGCAGCAAACTTTTTATAATTCAATGTTTATAAAAAAATAATTTTATGTATTGCAACATTAAATCTGAGTGTTCTTAAATATTCTTTAGGTTGTAATAATTAACACAATTAAGAATAATAAAATGATATAAATATAAAATGAATTTTATATTTTACAAAATATAATAATCCAACTTTAATACATATACATTTTTATGAAAGAGTGTGGTACTCTGAGATATGGAGTACGGAGTCATATAAAAAGGTTGATAAATCTTGATAAATATTAAAAAATAATTATCAAAATTTAATAAATAAATTCCGATGATGACTTGATTCATATCAAACGTTGTGTCATCTCATCCAGCTCCCAATGAAAATGGAACACACATCTTAAACGTGGCGTTGGATGCAACACTAACACAAACTGTAACGTTTTAGGATTTTAAGGTGATATCGGCTGGAAGTGAAACAACTGCCCTGCAAACATTGTTAAGCCCTGAACGGTTTAGGCGATAACCAAAACCAGGAAAAAAGAAAATCATGCAACAATGGTACTAATAGAAAAGTCATACAACTGAAAGTCGAAACTCAAAGAAAAAATATATTTGTATTAAAAACAAGTACTAGTAGCAACTAAAACCAATATAAATATTACGCTTTTGATACTTTCCCTTGTGATGACAAAAGTAGAAAATAATAGTCGAACCTGTCATAAATGGTATTATAATGCTTGCTAAGGGTGGATAAAAGGGATTACAAAACCGGTATCAAGTGTGACAATTAACTTTTTATATTACAAAAGGATATTGTCTCACTTAATCCCATATGGACGGCTTAATCCGCGAATGAGATAACTTTAGATAACATAAAATTATTTCATAAGCCCATATATACATTTATATGGATTTTTGTTGTGATTTTTTCATATTTATGTAAAATCATTACTAAAAGCAAAATGACTTATTTGTACAATAATGCCTTAGAAGTAAAAAAAAAAACTGTTTTCCGCAATAGTCTTGATTTTACAAAAAAGCAGAGTTATCTTGTTTGCAGATTAAGTTGTCGATATATCATCTCAATGTGCAGCATCTATTTAGAGAATTTTATAACTTGTATTTTTTTTTGTATCATTGTACCCTACTCTTTTGTATTAATCATTTACATATTAATAAAGCCTATTGCAGCATTTAAAAGTAATAAAATTTACCGAGTCTTTAGTTATTTTGTTATCTTTTTTAACACTCTTGACATTTCCAAAGATCTTTGTTTTTTGCATTGATTTTTTTGCATTCACATTGAAACCAATTTTTACAAGAGCAGCATTGAACTGTTTGCCTTAAAATAAAAAATTTATTACTATTTTTACATATTCCAGTTTTTACATTGAGGTGCTATTGTTTAAGCAATTATAATACAATTTTTTTTGATTTTTTAAGTACTTTTACTAAATAGGTTTGAATGTAAAAGAACTTTAAATTTAGCATTTACAAAATATAATAAGGTGTAGGGGGCTTAAAGAAACTGTTGAGATGTTATGGCACTTCTGAGTATTGTAATTTTTTTTCCAAAAACAATAGTAAATTCTTGAAAATGAAGCAAGGATGCTAAAACAATGACGCCTATGATAATGTTGTGTAAACAAAATTATGTAAGTTATAAAACAAGTAATTAAATAAAATTAGTTATGTACCGATGGCAAAGGTAAAATTGTGGCTAATAATAGGGTTTAATTTATACATAAACTGGTAATATAGAGATGTAAAATACGTATAAGGTAAAATTGTATATCAACATTGATTTGGCCTTGTAGCCTATGTCGTCAGTAACCATCGGCTAATTAATGGGTTAAACCATTAGTTGATTAATTAGCCAATAGCATCAGCTAAATAAAAAAATTACTAACTTTTCATATGAAGACCCATATAAAGGTGTCCAAATCATCCTGCAAGAACAGCATATCTTTAATTTGAATTCTTTTGGATTGTATCTATAGCTTCCAGAATATGACAGTGGAAAGGATCTCATTATGTTATCTTTTATGCATGCAAGAACATGACTTCTAAATAACCTTTGGTTGAACCAAATATCATCAACTGGATTTTTATTGTTCAATAAAATAAACTCTATAAAAGCTAGTGAAAACAAACCACAATCTACATTTCCTTCTTGCTGCTGAACTGGTAAAACATTTACTTTAATTTCGGATTTGTTGTAATTTGAAAGAGAACATATTTGTATCTGTGTATCTAATGACAAATATCCATGAAAACTACTATCAAGTAGAGTAACCTACTATCATATACTTCTCCAAACTTGCAGCCATATGTGCTAATAGCAAGCCAGTGATGATGTCCATTATAAATGACTTGAACGAACGGCAGAGAACCTTGGGGCTTGAAAAAAAGTTTTTGTCCTAATATTGGACCTTGCAACCCATTTGCAGAAGGATGATTTTTTATAATTAAATTATGAAAGTAATGGATAACACTATCTGATAACATTCTGTTATTTGAAATGTCTTCTAAATCCTCAGTTTTAAGTAAAGAAATATTTAAAATATTGCTTTTGTTATCATCATCAGACAAAATATTTTCAATAATCATAGAAAAAAAAAAGATGTTTCACCTGTTATTTGATCATCAGTAATAATACATTCTTGTATCGATACTTCTGGAGCAACACTATTAATCTTAATATTACATGATGAGAGTGACATATCTTTTTTTTTTTCCAACCCGATTTGAACATTTTTTTTTTTTTAATACCAGGTATTTCAATTAATTTCATTTCTTATTGTGTACATAATCATCCATATTTTCTGTTCGAACAGGTAGACCTTTTTCTTTTTTTCTTGCATGATAAAGGGCATTAAGAATGTTTGATAAATTTTCATGTAAGTCAGAAATTTCTCCAGATGTTTCATCAAAATCATAAGTTAAATTTTTAATAGTGGTAAGCATTTCACTTACTTCAGATGCCATCGAAACCTTTTTTTGAATACTTTTGTCAGAGAGTTTTAAAGATACTGTATCTGAGAAATTAACAATAGAAGCTTTAGTATATTCTTGAACATGTTTATTTGCATGGTTGCATTTACAAACAATTGATTGATTTAATGTCAAGTCATTTTTAATGTCAATATTTAGAAATGGGGATTCCCTATATAAAGAAGATAAAGATTGCCATGACCAATTATGTGGATGTTTTCTAAATATCAAAAAAAAGTGTTTGCAAAGATAAGCTGATTTTAACCAATCATTGCAAGTACATTTTGGCATGTTGTTTTCATCGCCAAAATTGACAATGTAACTTTTACTTTCATCTGAGAAACTTTTTACTTCAAATATTCCATGGTCTACTAAAATTAATTCATTTAGGTCAGCATTACTAGCTAAATTATGTTTCTGTAAACAATGTTTAACAAAATGATGTGGCTTATTATGTAAAAAATGAGGTACATTCATACTATAACGTCTGTACTGACAACTAATTTTGAAATTGGATTCTGAATATCTAAAATATTTTTTTTTTAATTAAACTTTATCTACAATTATTTTTTTTTTATCAGTTCAATTTAAAATAAACTTACTGTTCAAATTTGTCTGGAAAAAATTCTTCAATTAATAGGGTTAGCATACCAGTAATAGATGAATTTTTATGCTGTTGCAAATAAGAATATTTAAAGGATTCATTTTGTCTTTCCACCCCATTGTTAGTATTTAAACTAACCAACAATCGATCGCGACGATAAGCCCATATCCATTTCTAAACAAAACATGAGAGTATCAACTAAAATATCATTTACATAAAAAATCAAATATAAATGAATAAAGGTACAGATAAAAAGATTAAAATTAATAAACATTATCAGGGTGTTAACCAAAATAAAAATTTAATGTCAATTTTTTCTTCAATTGATAGAAACACAATTGTTGTCATTTAATATATTATATAAATAATTAGGAGAGCCTGTTATTATGTACAATCGGGAAATTATCTTATCAAAGACAAAATAAAGACTAACTAACACACAGACTTTTGTAACAAGAATGTTATCATTAAATCATATATACTAACATTATAAATTAATTATATATATATATATATATATATATATATATATATATATATATATATATATATATATATATATACATATATATATATATATATATATATATATATATATATATATATATATATATATATATATATATATATAAACATGTAAACATCATACAAAGATGATTATAATTTTTAAATGATGTCAGAATTTACGAAATTGAAGAATATAATACTTAGATAATTAGTTAATAGAAATGCAAAACAATTACTTCTTTAATACTTAACCAATAATTAGTTATATATTTTTTAAATCTGTTAAACTTGTAATCCAACCAAAACTTGGATGAACTTAGTAACTCAATAGCTGCTTCTACCTCTTCTTGAGCTTGTGCTCTAGCTACACAGCGCAACAATGAAATTATACTTCCTTTAAAATCAGAGCATCCATTTGTAGTCTTTGACAACCAACGATCTCATGCCTGCTCTCTATGAAAATCACATACGAGGACTCGACAATCTAAATAGTTATCACCATCAGTCATAAAGAACAGTTTATAACAATAACATTTAACAAACTTTAAAAATTATTTATAAGTATATTATTTGGAACATAATTTTGAGATAAATATATATATATATATATATATATATATATATATATATATATATATATATATATATATATATATATTTATATATATATATATATATATGCATCTCTTATGCAAAAACCATGGTCAAGTCGTAAAAAATATTTTATTTGTGGTCATATAAGACATGCGACCGCTCAAGTCCAAAAAAGGCTTTATATATATATATATATATATATATATATATATATATATATATATATATATATATATATATATATATATATATATATATATATATATATATATATATATATATATATATATATATATAGCCTTTTTTGGACTTGTGCGGTCGCATGTCTTATATGACCACAAATAAAATTTTTTTTACGACTTGACCATGGTTTTTGCATAAGAGATGCATATATATATTTATATATATATATTTATATATATATATAATTTATTAATATATATATATTTATATATATATATATATACATATATATATATATATATACACACACTCATATATATATACATATATATATATATATATATATATATATATATATATATATATATATATATATATATATATATATATATATATATATATATATATATATATATATATACTTGTGTGTCTATTTTACCTGAAAAAATAGCTTCTAATGACTCTATTTCTTCGTTGCAATAATCAGTCATACAAAAAGTAGGATTTAACAATGCATTCCATTGTTTTATTATATTTAATGCTTCAGTGATAGCCTTTTTAGTTTCATTTTCGATTACAAAAGTGGCAACAACTTGATTATCTACATTTGTTTTTATCGCTAAAAAAAATAAGGGAAGAGAATATCTCGTAGTTCGGTAAGTGGCATCAAGAAGCAGTATCTCATTTCCATACCGTAAAAGAAGTTCTTGTTGCCAAAGTGATTGATATACAAATAAAAAGGAATACATAGTTTCACAGATACTGTTTGTAATTTCAGCTTTTGGTCTCAGAAACACCTTTATAGAAGAATCCCTTTTTTTCCATTCATCACATTTCTTTAAAAGACATTCTTGATCAATCATAGAATACCTAAACAATTAAAATATCATTATCGTAATAATATATCACACATATATAGATATATATATGTGTATCATACACACTTTTTTTAAAAACATGCACTTTCATTTTTCAAAAATAGAAAAAACAATAACCTTTTAGTATAACATCATCATTTTGATTCTGATACTGCATTTATTTATGTATGTATGTATGTATATATGTATATATGTATATATATATCAACCCTCGAAATTAGGGTCGGCATTGCCAACCTGAAAGTGTACAAGGTCGGCAAAAAATAACCGACCTTGTTTCTATGTTTTGCGGTCAGACCTTAAAATATTTTTTGCCGACCTCAAAAAGATTGAGGTCTGTAATAATTTGCCGACTTCATTTTTCCCAATTCCGAGTGTTGATATATATATATATATATATATATATATATATATATATATATATATATATATATATATATAGAGAGAGAGAGAGAGAGAGAGAGAGAGAGATATTAAAATTGAGTCAGAAACGTTAAGGTGACAACAAATGGTTGCCTAAACGCAACTGTTGCCTTATAGCTCGTTTTTTTAACAAATTTTGTCGCTATTAAGTATGAATATATATATATATATATATATACACATATATATAGTATATATATAATACATATAATATATATATAATATTTATATATATTGTATATATAATATATATATAATATATATATATAGTATATATTTAGTATATATATATATATATATATATATATATATATATATATATATATATATATATATATATATATATATATATATATATATATATATATATATAAACAGGGTTTATACAAGTTCTCAATAAAAAAATTCCCTGATTTAACTCAAAAACATAAGTAATTTCCCTGACTTTTTTTCCTGAAAACCCTGTTTCCCCTGACTCATTCAAAAAAACTACCCTTTTACCCTGAATCATTGACTATGCATAGTAATAACTATGAATTGTTTCCTGAAAAATTGAGTTACTACCCTTTTACCCTGACTCATTAACTATATATAGTAATAATTATAAACTGTTTCCTGAAAAATTGAGTTGCATCGACACTAACATATACAAAACAAAATACTCACATAGACATGCATTAACACTCACATATGAAATAAAAGATGTACTGATCATATGTTCTTTAATTAAAGGTTATATTGATTAACGCAATTCTTTTAAATTATTTAAAAATCTCCTTTTTATGATTAAGTATTTTTATTAAAACTGTTATTTAATTATCAAAACTAAAATTTAATAAATAATTAGTAACCTTAGCTTTTGTTTAATTTTGACTATATGTGATCTTATAGTTGTAACACGGGGGAAAAACCTTCTATTATTTGGTGGAGGAAGATTTTCTTTTTCAAATATACCCTTTACAGCAATTCGAAGGAGCCTTTTCATTTCTCTTACATTGAATATTCCCTCCATTACATATTCTTCAATTTTTTTAGAAATTTCAGGATCAATTTTTTGAGAAATCAATTCAGCCTTAAAAAAAAAGTAAATAAAAATCTTATAACATGTTTATATTACAATATTATATGACAAACCAGAACTAAATTATTTTTTTACCGATCCTACAAGATGATTATCATGACATGATAAATTGTCGATAGCAACTACAATTGTTTGCATATGATTAATTTCATTTAATGCAGAAGTTTTTATTTTCTCCCTCAAAAGTTTAGATGCATTCTTTTGGCGCCATACAGACCTCTCTGATATCTAAATATATCAATTAATTAATAAACAAAAGTAGTATATAAAATCAAAGTAGTAACCTAAAATAAATTCAATTTTTATGGTTTACATAACTGTCAATAATTTTTTGTTTTACTTAATTACATAACCAATTTCTACCTTAAAATCAGGAAAATGTATTATTTCTCTCATATTAACTTTAGCAGGGCACATGAATTTTTTAGTGTCTTGTAAAATAATATAATTCTTTTGAAAGCAGTGATCATCTATCTGTAATTAAAAAGTTAATACAGTGCATTGTACATTTAATTGGTTAGTTCAATAACATTTTATTATTTGAAAAAAAAATTTAAAATATTTAAGAGAAAGCTCAAAAGCTAGTAACATACTTTAAACCTCTTCAAATGTCATATTTAATAAATATTTTTAAAGAAAAGAATAATATATAAAGATTGATTTTGACCAAGTGTATTACATTAAGTTTTTGTTTTTTTAGTTGATAACTCTTTTTTGATGAAATATTTCTGTCAAATCCATAATGACAATCGAAAACTTTGCTTGCAACAACTATGTAAGGCAACCCAGAATAAGGAACAGCAAAATCTCCCCAAAGTATAGAATGACTTTTTGTAATCATTTCTAAAGTATAAAATGAAAACATTTTTGAAATAAACTAATTTAAATAACTTAAGAAAAGTTATAACAAAAAGAACCACTTTACCAGTCATTCCAAAATTTTTATTTGCCTTAAACACTACGAATCTTGTTGTTGCCGCTATCTCATACTTTTTTACACATTGAAGAGCTTCTTCATGAGATTTACAATGATAAACCAGCTTTGATTTATCAGCTACAAAAACAATTATCAAACAATTATAACAATAATTCCTACATATAAAAGCAAATGCAAACAATTCTTTTATAAAAAAAAATTAAATAACTAGCTGATTTCGGCATTACAGTCAAATATTTGACATACCACTATTAATTCAATGAGCAAATAAAGAGGTAATTTCTTGAGTACTTGCAACTATAATGTTTTCTATGTTAAAAAAATAATTACATGAGAAAAAACTAAACATAAAATATGTAAATAAATACATAGAATGCATAACTTAATTTGATTATTTAAATATTAATTATCAGATTAAATCATTTAATCCGATTTAATCTGATTTAATCATTTAATAAATGTCATGTTTATCAATTGATTTATAATTAAACAACCTGGTAAACTTTCACTTTCATCGGAGCTAGTTTCTTCAGAGCTGCTAATATTTAGATTGTTATCATAATTAGATAGAAATAAATCCATACTCATAAAATATATCAATAAACGTTATTGAATAAAGTTCACTAAAACTAAATACTTAAAATTTCGTAATATTGCGTTCGTGTGTAACTTAAGCGCTAATTCCACTAAAATTTATAGATGAAATTATAAACGGTAACCGGTAAAAATGACCTACTTTTGAGGGATGTTAAAGTCTGCTAACCCGCAAAAATATTTATTCGAAAGTTTCACGTGCGTAAAACAATAACAAACACAATTTGATCATAGTTGCAAAGAATGGATATTTTTATTTAATAAGCGTTTTTTTTTTAAATATTAATATCTACTTTCAAAAAAAAATATGTATGTAAAAACTTTTTTAATATGTAACTTTTTTTATTTATGAAAAAGTCGATAAATCAGTATTATTTTTTTATTATAATTAAAAAAAATTTGGAATCCTTGGACAGGGCCGGCGCGAATAGGGGTCACGCGGGGAGGGTGCCATTACAACTTTTTCCGTGAAAAAAAAAAAAAAAAAGGTCCTTGTTTTTTAATGTTTACCGACTGCCATAACGACATTTGCCGACTGACTTTACCGACTAACCTATCGACAGGGTCTACATTTGCCGACTAACTAGACAAAAAGGGTCACATTTGCCGACTAAAAGTCATTGATGGGCGGGTGTTACACCCCCCCCCACCCACACCCCTATCGCGCCGGCCTTATATATATATATATATATATATATATATATATATATATATATATATATATATATATATATATATATATATATATATACATATATATATATATACATATACACACATACACACATAAATAAGTACAAATATACACATACATGAGTATAAATATATACACACAAAAAATAAAAAGCGAGAAAATGTGATTTGTGTTGATGGTTATTGTCAATAAATTTTTAACTTTTTTTTTTTAATGATTACAAGTAACAGTTACCTTGTTTATATTTATAATTGATATATCTGATCTATTTTAAAAGAAAGACTTATAATAAAATAAATCTAAATCTGTGTTTAATAAAAACTGTTTTGAATCAGTTTTGAACTGATGTAGAGAAGTTTTCTTTTCGGAAACAATGTTTGGGAATCTTTTCACAAAAGCGGTATGCGATCCTGAATTGAATAAGAATTCTGTTAGTACTTGCCCATATGTGGTTAGTACTTGCCCATATGATGTTGCCGTAAGTTAAGTAACTATGTATAAAAGAAAAATATAATTTTTTTAAGGACTTAAAACTTAAAATTGGCCTAACTCTATAGATCATTCCAATGTTTTTTGAGATTTTTTTTCTATAGAACTTATATGTATTTTCCATGATACATTTTCATCAAAGTTCACACCCAAAAAATTTACAGATGTTTGTCTTTTAATGTTAGTTTTGCTGCATCTTGTTTAACTTTTATTATGAGCTTAATTTAAGTTTAAATTTTATGAGTTTATTTTAATTTAAAGACTATCAAAATATAGTTGTACTTAATATATAATTATATTTAACATAAACATAATATATATTAATCACTTTGTAAGGGCTTCGTGATAAGATCATTACGATCTTCTTGAAATCCGGCCCGTACTATTTAATTATAAATTTCATTATATATTTTGACTCACAAGACTTGTAAATATTACACCTTTAATTTACGAAGTTTGTAGACGTTATATGTATGGCAAAACATAAGAATAATATAAAATATATATATATTTTTTTTGGATTTGATTCTAAACTAAATGATATGTTGAACTATGTATGTGCTAATTGTAAAATAAATTTATCTAAAGAAAATTTATATTGAAAAAATATGTGCGCAAGGAAAAGATCTCCAGAAATATGGTTACTTCAAGTCCTTTGCAAGTCCTTTGTGAAGTCCTTTGCAAGGTCATCGCATCACCGTTGAAAAAGAAAAAAGAAATAAAGAAAGGCAATTAAAAACTGAGTTAATTACCAATTGTTTCAAATAAAGAATTCAAAAATATCAAAATAAAAGAAGAGTAAAACAAAAAAACATATAAAAAAAGAAACTTTTAACAAACAAACACTCAAAAACAGCATTTAAAAAAAAAAAGATAAGTTGATAAATTAATAATCACATAATTCATATCAACATAATTAAAAACAAATTAAGCGAAAATAAAAGCACTTATTTTATAGGTGATTTAAACCTTGAACATGAGTCTGAACATGAGTCATTTAAATACAAATATAAATAATTTCTTTAACGTCATATATCAGAAAGGCTTTATTCCACTAATTAATAAACCCACAAAAATAACTAGAGAAAGCGCAACAATCGTAGATCAAATAGTCACCAATGAGTTCAAATCAAAAATAAAAACAGGAATATTTAAATGCGATATTTCAGATCATTTCCCTGTATTTCTTATCTCACAAAAATGTGATAACATTTATGCACAAAAAGTTAAAAAAAATACGCGAAATATTAATGAAAAATCCATGGAAAATTTTAATACTCTTTTATCAAATTTAAATTGGGATGACCTCCTTGATATTGAACACGTAGATAAGGCATAAGATAAGTTTATTGATAAATTACAACAACTTTACAATTCGGCTTTTCCTGTAGTTACAAAATATTATATCATACTAAACCTTAAAAAAATTATTAAATCCGTGGATAACGCCTGGAATTATAAAGTCATCGAAAAAAAAGCAACGACTTTATAATAAGTTTCTCAAAAAAAAAAACTTTCAATAATGAAACTAATTACAAAAATTATAAACGTATTTTCGAGATGGTTATCAAAAAGTCAAAGAAATATTACTATACTGAGCATTTAATAAAACAAAAAAATGATTCAAAAAAAACTTGGAAACAACTAAGGAATTAATTGGCACGAAACAAAATGACGGAAATAGTCTTCTTATAAAACTAAGCATTAAAAATAAAACTATTACAAATAAATCTTTAGTTGCTGAAACACTTAATCCATATTTTGTCAGTGTAGGTTCCACTTTAGCGTCGAAAATAGAAACTACTGAAGTAAACTTTGAGTCATATCTTACTCCTAATAAGACCTCTAAGATGGATAAATATGAAATTACTGAAAAGGAACTCTTAGATTCAGTATATTTTTAAAACTAAACAAAAGTGTGGAGTTTGATAATATTAGTTGTAATTTAATTAAAAAATCAATAAAGTACTTAACAATCGCTCTTTTACATATTTTTAATCTCTCTTTAAAACTAGACATTTATCCGGAGAAACTAAAAATTGCGAGGGTCATACCTATTTTCAAGTCAGGAGACATATTTAATTCTGAAAATTACAGACCAATTTCAAAACTGAATACTTGACTGTTACTTGCAGTGTTCCCGAAGGCTTAATTCTGGGTCCACTTTTATTTCTTATTTATGCAAACGATTTCCATAAGTCTTCAAACATTTTAAACTCAGTTTTATTTGCAGATGATACGAATTTATTTTGTTCTAATGGAGATATCAACCTCTTATTTAAAATATATATATTTTTTTATTATTATTTATTTAATTTGCCGTTGATAAATATTACAAAAAAGAAATTACAATAAAAGAAAATCCTGGCTGGAGCAAGAAGAAGACAGATTGTCTAATCACCGAGCCCCGTCACACAAAAATTTACATGCACAATAAATGATAAAAGACAAAAAGACAGTATAAATACAAAAACAAAAACAAATCAAAAACTTCAGCAATAAAATAATTTGTTGCTAACAATCTTCAAGCAGAATAATTTTAAAAATAAAAAAGTAAAAACGACAAAAAGTCATGAAAGTTATAAAAACACACAAAAAAATGTGTTGTTTAATTGAAAAAAAAAAAAAAAAAAAGCAATATATGTAAACATAAGTATTTGGGCTGATTATTTAATATCATTAAAAATATGAACGAAAAAAGCAATTTTATTTTCGTTATCTTTTATACTAATGGTTTGAAACCATTTTAATAAAAGCTAAAGAAAGTGTTAAAGATTTAATTTATTTTTAAGTGATTTAGTGTAAACCTTTAAATTGTTTTCAAAAAAGGTATTTGAAATCTAGTATATCGAATTCCATGTTCAGTAAATGCCGTTTTGAATCATTCTTAAAACTTTGCAAAGTGCAGTTTAAAACGAAGTTTTGTTTTTTACTAAAGATTGAAAGAAATTCTTTCCAAACTAAAGGCCCCCGATATTGAATTTGGTACGAACTTAATTTAAAAAAGTTTATGGGAACCACAAAGTTATTCACTGAAATTTTGGTTGGATATTTATGGGAGATTTCATTAAAGTAGGATTGAAATGTTACTGGGGAAAACCTAAGTTTTGCTTAAACATAAATATCATTACTTGATGAATATTAAGTTTATAAATATTTAAAGCTCCAAGCTGACGTAAGAGAGGTTCGCATTGTGTTTTTCTATTTGCCCCAAATACTATCCTGCAAGCATGTTTTTGTTTACTATAAATTTTTTTGAGTTTAGTGTGATTAGTGCTACCCCAGGAAATGTTACAGTATGAAAGATAGCTGTGTATAAACGAAAAATATAAATTTTTTAAATCGTTATTAAGAAAAGGTTTCGTTCGGTATAACATGGCAATATTTTTTGAGATCTTACCTTCAATATATTTAATATGAAATTTCCATGACAATTTTTCATCTAAGAGCACTCCCAGAAAGTTTGTAGTCAATTCCCTTTTAATTATTTTATTATTGATTAAAAGATTGGGTAGTTTAAGAGGAATATTCTCGGCTTTACTAGGTTTATGGAATAGGATAAATTTTGTTTTCTCTACATTTAATGATAGTCGGTTACTTATAAACCACTCGTTGATCTTGTCTAATTCTTCGTTAAATATTTTAAAAAGAACAGTAATATTTTTGTGAGAATAAAACAAATTAGTGTCATCTGCAAATAAGATAGTATTTAATACTTTTCCCAGCAAACAATAGACGTCTTTTAGACCGTCTAAAATTGGTCTGATTTGTATCTATTGCCGATACGTATATTTTAGACGTATATTAGAGATCAAAAAGACGTCTGATTCTAGAGATACTATTTTTGCTCTGTTTTAGATGCATATTAGATGCATAAAATAGATCGTGCATAGATAATTTTTTTTATCTAAACTTAGATGTCTATAAAATGTCTTATATAGATTTGTTATAAAAACAAGAAAAAAATATCAACTAATTTTA